TGCTATTTGCCTATTTATTTATTTATTTATTTATAAAATTTATTTATTTATTTTCGTTTTTCAAGACAGGGTTTTCCTGTGTACCCTTGGCTGTCCTGGAACTTGCTCTGTAGACCAGGCTGCCCTCACAGAGCTCTGCCTGCCTCTGCCTCTTGAGTGCTGGGATTAAAGGCGTGCACCACCATGGCCTGGCTTTATTTTGTCTTTTATTGTTTTTTGAGACAGGGTTGGCCTTGAGCTTGCATCAGTCTACCTGTCCTAGCCTCCCCGGTGCTAGGACGTACTGTTTCAGGGAAACCACACTGGGGATATTGGTTGGTGTGCATGTGCTCTGTACAAATTGCCGTGAGCTATTCGCATTGAGTTTTCTGAGGTCAGTTTATTCAGTTAAAGAACGTACACAATTTATACATACTTTCGAAATACAAGTTTCAATTGTCTTTTTAGAATGCTTTGAGACATGGTCTCATTCTGTAGCGCAGACCCTTCTTGAACTCATGATCCTCCTGCCTCAGACCTCTACTGGAATAACAGGTGTACGTAGCCACACCCAGCTTGGGCCTCATCATTTTTCGTGTTGATGACATAACTCCTATTCCTACTAATAGTATTGAACCTGCATTTCTAATGATTCTTGTCAGTAGTGGATATTATGGTCAGATCTTTACTTTGAGTTTCTTAAAAGTTTTTACGTCTGTGGATTTTTGCCTGCATGTATGTCTTTGAGCCCCTGTGGGTGCTTGGGGCCGGAAGAGACCAGAGGCGGGTGTCAGAGCTCATGGAACTGGTGTTCCAGAACGTGGTGAGCCACCCTGCGGGTGCTGGGAATCAGGACGAGCCACCAGTGCTCTTATCCACTGACCTGTCTCTCCAGCACCAGATCTTTAACTTAAAAGGGACAGCCGTGGTATCTGGTGCACGTGAAACTCCTCGTCCTCGTGCACACCCAGCTCTGTCGTGGGTGGTGAAGTTACCTCGTGTGCCACGCCCCTCCAGCTCTTTTTCTGTCTGGCAGAACCGAAACCCCGTCTGCAGAACTAGAGGGTGCCATTTCCGCCTCGCTCCCCGGCCCCGCCTACTTCCTGTATCTTTTGACCAGGTTCCGAGCCCAGCGGCACAGGAGGGGGTGGGCAGTGGCTCAGCTGCTGAAGTGCTGGCCGCGCACACTTGGGGACCTGAGTTTGGATCGCCACCTCCCACGTAATAAGTGCGGTGTGGTGACACGTGGTTGTAACACCCTTGCAGGGTCGGGGGCCAAAGACAAGAGGAGCTCTGGCGCATTCTGTCTGGCCAGTCTGTCTGGCCAGTATGACAGGGGAATCGAGGAGCCCCACGTCGACCTCTGCCCCCGCTTGCACACATGTGCACCCACATGTACATACGTACTCACACGTACATTGCACACACACAGCCTCATACAGGTGGAATCGTCTTTTGTGAGCCAGTGTTTCAATTAGCTTGCTGTCTGTAAGGCTCATCTATGTGGTAGCATTTTGCGTATTGGTTCATGCATCCATGGACACTTTAATTGCTTTTTAGCCTTGTGAATAATTCTGCTATGAACGTGTGTATGAATATCTCCTTGAGATCCTACTTACAGGTTTTTTTTTTTTTTTTTTTTTAAATTATTTTGGTTTTTCAAGACAGGGTTTCTCTGTGTAACCCTGGCTGTCCTGGACTGGCGTTGTAGACCAGGCTGGCCCTGAACTCACAGCGATCCACCTGCCTCTGCCTCCCTGAGTGCTGGGATTAAAGGTGTGAGCCACCACCACCCAGCCTACTTTCAGTTTATTTAAAAGTACATAACCAGAGCCTGGAGCGATGGACCACTGGTTAAGAGCACTGGCTGCTCTTCCGGAAGACCTGGTTTTGATTCCCAGCACCCACATCATGGAGCACAAGTGTCTGTAACTCCAGTTCCGTGGGATCCACCACCCTCTTCCGACCTCTCAGGGCGGCAGGCAGGCAGGCATGTAGTGTGTAGACATACATGCAGGCAAAACACCCATATGCATAAAAGAAAAAAATAATAAAATTAAGTGTATACTCAGAAGCGGAAATCTGTGTGTGTGAATTATATTTTCAAAAATATTTTATTATTATTATTATTATTAAGTAGGGGGTATATTACTTAAAGAGTAGATGAGGGATGAGCCATTGCTCGGTTAGTGGAACACCTGCCTGGCACTTGTAGGATGCTGAGTTCAATTCCTGGCACCATACACACGTACAGCCAGATGATGAGCCCTGATGAGCTGAGAGGGTAAACTGGCAAACCCCGAGGAAGGGCTGAAGGAAGAAACGTGTTGCAAGAGGTGGGAACGAGGAACAGGCAGTGGTAGACTGATCGCTTCCTCGCTGGTGAAAACAGAATGGGCTTGCTCATCTTGCGTAAAGAGGCTTGTGAGTCATTGGTGTCCATTCCAAAGTTCATTGACTGCTTGGCACTGGGTAGGGGATGGCGTTCTGGTTTGATCAGTCTGTTGAGCCTAGTATGAGATCAAAGGCGTTCTGTAAATTGTATTTAAGTGTCTTTTGGTTTTAGTTTTATGGGTTGATTGTTGAAAACTGTTGCTCACCTTTTGACAGAAATATTGTTGGGCGTAGTCTCATTAGAGCATTTCACGAACTGATGTGTTCATCTTTTGACACACACGTCATAAACAGTTTTCATTATTTGACTTGTCTATTTAACCTTTTGGTAAATTTATTTTTATTCATTTGGATGTGTGTGTGCCTGGTTGTCTGTGTGTGCATCAGTGTCTGCAGGGCCCGGAAGAGGGCGTCTGACCTGTGGAATTGGAGTTTACAATCCCAAAAGATGGTTGTGAGCTACCAGGCATGGGTGCTGGGAATCGAACCCGTGTCCTTTACAGGAGCAGCAGGTGCTCCTGATTGCTGAACCATCTTTCCAGATGTCTTGTTCTTTTTTTTTTTTCCCCTAGACAAACCACAGATTTAAATTCTCTTGTGCCTGTATTAATTACTGGCTTCTCAGTCTTCCTGCTGATTTTGCACTTTCCTAGGTTGTCAAACGCCAGCTCTGCTGCTAGCACCCATTGCCTGTGCGTTCTAGCATTCATAGCTTAGGAGCCCTCAGTGTTAGAGGCATTTCCTAGCACAGTGCCACAGTGTTAACTGCAGCGTGAACAGCCTTTCCTCTGCTGGGCAGTGAGCTGGTTGGGTCCAGCGTAGGCACAGCACAGCTTTCCTTTCCGGGTGCTCTCTGGAGGAAGTGCTTCTCAACAGCTGGGTGTGGGGGTAAGGAAGTTTCATTTTGAGAGTGAGAAGTTTCTGAGGACGTCAAGCCATCGAAGCCCTCTGATGCCATGGAAGCAGCCCCCTTACTTTCTTAGATAACCTTGGGACTGACCCAGGATGTTTTTTTAGCCAACCCATTATAAAGATCCTGTCCCACAGGGACCTTCCTGCTACATGCTTTTTTTTTTTGGATATTCATTAATATAACTTTTTTTTTTTTTTTAATAAAATGGTTTTGTTGTTCAGTTTTTTAAATCATTGCTGGCAACCTTACATGTAGGTGAAGTTTGTTTTGGTCTATGTTTTCAGAGCTGTAGGTCCATGGTTGACCATCCTGTGGCTTTTGGGGCATGTGACACTGAATCAAGCTGGAAGTGTAGGGAGAGGAAGGACTGGGGTCTCGGTGCTTCCAATGACTGTTACCTTGAACTAATTCCCATCTCCTGAAGATCTAGCACTTTAGAAAACACATAGACTTGGAGCTGGGCTCTGATCACATGGGGCTTTGGTAGCTGCTTAAGATCTCAGCAATGACCTTGCTGCGGCAGAATTATAATGACCGATACAGTTGTCTCCTGGGAGTCGATTCATGATGACTACAACAGTGTTGTTGAAGAGTGGATGGTGCATGTTGGAGGAGACGGTGTCGGGGCAAGATGGGGAGACATCGAGGGCAACAGTGGAACAGTGTGTTTATGCCCCTTTGTCCCTAGCCTCAGGCCCAGCTCTTGGGACCTGGCCCCACATCCACAAGGGAGTTATGGTCAAGGGTTTGTTGGAGGTTTATCATTCATAGTTTCCCTCTTGCCTCCCTCTTTCTCCTACCCCTCTCCCCTTTCTCTGCTCCACAGGGGCTCTGACTGTTTTTCCCTTCCCAGAGCTGGGACTGTCAATGCATGCCATCCTACCTGGCTTTTTATATTAGTGCTATGGATCAGCCTGAGGACCTCATGCTTGCGAGCATCTTTCTGACTAAGCTGTCACCCGTATCTCTATAAATCAGCCAATAAAAGAGAGACTTGTTCTTTAACAATAACACCCACTCTTTTCTCCCTGTGTCTTAAAAAGGCCCTTTCCACTCTAAGGTTAGGTACGAACCTATCCTATCCGTACTTAATGTGTGGGTGAGTGAAGGTCATGCTGGGATGAAGGCCTGACCTCTGACCCATTTATCTCTATCACATCATTGTGGAGCCAGGGTCAGGCACTGGAGTTGGGAAACAGATGGGCTTGAGTTGGAATGATACTTTTCTTCCTTTCAAGGCCTTGGCAAGTGTAATTTAACTCCTCAGCTACATGCAGTGAGCATGTCAGCCCTCCCTCAGAGTGGAACTACACAAAAAGCCCCACAGTTCTGCCCTGTTAGAGAAATGAAGCAGAACAGGGTGCTTGCTCTCTCTCTCTCTACCCCCCTCCCTCCTTCTGAGCCATCTCTCCAGCTCACCTGTGCACTCTTAATTGTCTTTCCAAATAAAGCCACATTCACAGGACCCGGGGTAGGAATGTCTTTTAGGCAGCCACACGTGAGCTCCACCCTCGTCTAAGGTGGAGACAGACCCTCTGTCTGTCTTGACCACATATCGCACATCTGAATCATCTGCTGTTCTTACAGGGCTGGAGGGAGGGGACTGGGAAGTTGTGAATGAAAGATTCAGTTTCACAAGTTGAAGAGTCTGGGGAATAGGGGGGACTCTAGAATGAATGTTTGATGTCACCAGCATTGATAACTTATTTTTCAGGTTGATTGTGTCCTGAGCCGAAGATGTTTCCAGAGCAACAGAAAGGGGTAAGTCACTACTTCTTCATTTAGGGACAGTCTGGGCTGAAAAGCTGAAGGTTAGCAACCCATGAATTCTGCCTCATTACAGATTGGTCCAGGAAGTAACTGGAAACTGGTGACATCTCAGAAGGGGGCTAGAGGAAGGCAGACATTCCCTGTCCCCACTCTAGTTGCGCTCTTGGCATGATCTTTCTGGTTCTGTGACTAGGCCGCAGCAGGTACATGCTGCCACCCATTCATGTGTCTGAAACACGGGCTCCCAGAGCCAGAACTCTTCCTGTTCTGCCTCCCTCCCTTGGCCTGAGCATCTCTTTACACTCTGCTTGCCTGGTTTTCTCTCAGCCGACTCATCCCTGGACAATCCCAGCTTTGACTAGGGACCCAGGAAAAGTGTCTGCTATTAGTTTCAGCCTGACCTGTTTGTTGCCTTTTAGAGCTGTTTTGTTGTTGTTGTTGTTTTGATTTTTTTTTGTTTGTTTGTTTCCCATACAACTCAAGCCAGACTTCCTTTTCCTGACTGCATCCTAGACTTACAGGACTCCAAAGCCCAGTTTTCCAGGCTGCCATCTAGGGTAGGGCTAATTCAGTTGTCTTTTGCTACCCTCGGGGGATTAGTTCGAAGAAGTTATCCCTCTCGGATAATACCAGAGCATCTCAGGATGCTCAAGCCTATTGTATAAAATGGTGTAGTATTTGCATGTAACCTGCCCAGTTTTTCCAGATATGTACGGACTTTATTTAGTCACCCTTTTAAGTCAGGATTCCAGGCTGGCTTTGAACTCATTATGCAGCCAAGACCAGGACTTGAATCTCCTGATCCTTCTGCTTCTCCCTTTCCATGTCCAGCCTTCAATACTCTCCCATATACTCTAGAAGACTTATAATGCTAAATGCCATGTAAGTGCCATGGTAATAGTTATAACATTTAAGGGAGAATGGCCAAGAAAAAAAGTCTGTGTACAAGGGCTGGAGAGATGGCTCAGAGGTTAAGAGCACTGGCTGTCCTTCTGGAGGTCCTGAGTTCAATTCCCGGAAACCACATGGTGGCTCATAATCATCTGTAGTGAGATCTGGTGCCCTCTTCTGGCCCACAGGTGTACATGCAGGCAGAACATTATATACGTAGTAAATAAATAAATCTTAAAAGTAAAAAAAAGTCTGTGTATCTCTGGTAGAGATGCACTGTGTAGCTCAAGATGCACTAGGAGTGAGCCACCATGGCCAGCTTCTTTCCAGTTGTGTGTGTGCGCTGGTTCGTGTGTGTGGGTACATGCGCATGTGTGTAGAGGCCAGAGGTCAACCTTGGGCTGTCTGGCTTGTATATTAGGAATCTGTCTCTCACTGCTATCTGCGGTCTATCAGGTAGGTTGGACTGGCTGGCCCCAGTAGTCCTCCTGTCTGGGATTGCAGATGCAGGCCAATATCACCTGCTTTTTATGTGGATCCTGAGGATCAGACACAGGGCCTTATGCTTGCACGACAAACGCTTTATAGACTGGGCTGTCTTCCCAGGCTCTTTTGTGGTAGGGGAAACCGTGGTGGCAGCAGCTGAGACAGCTGATTGTGTTGCACCCACAGTCAGGAAACAGAGAGTTATGAGGCCTCATGTTCACCTTTGTTCCTTTTATGAAGCCCAGGACCCAAGCCTAGGGAATGGTGACACCCATGTTTCGGGTGAGACTTCCACCTTAATTAACCTAGTCAAGATAATCCCTCACAGGCATGCCTGGAGGTTCCATGCGTGAAGCTGACGGTCAGTCTCAGCCATCACACCAGCTGTACAAAGATGACGTATCAGCGAACTGGAAAATGTCCTTTCTGATAAGTGGTTACATAATAGTCTTATGTCATTAGTGAATTTAAAAATGGCAGTTTCTTCAGTGAAAGAGGGAAAAACCACACTGCAAATAGGTGGGGATACAGTGTTCAAGGGTTTAGCTTAGCGGCTGTCAGCAAGAAATAAAAATACAGGGGTGAGATGCCGTGTGCACTAGAGTGGAACATCTGGCTGTTCATTAGCTGTTTGTCCGCTCTCTGCGTGGACAAGGGCTCAACCAGCATCCCTGCACTTGGCGTCTAGGTACCTGCAGGACCAAAGTCTTTTTTCCAGACTATTTTCTTCAACTCCAGGCCACTTCTTGCTCCCTGCTTCTGAGCTTATTTTGAAGTCTCGACAGCTCTGTGCAGTTGGCTCCTGGGCTGTTTCTAGTAGTGCCTTCCTTCCCAGCTTCAGCCCTTCCCTCGCTTCCATACATCGTTGATGGAGGCTGATACCTTCTATTCCTTCAGGCCTCAGTGGGGAATCAAAAAGAGACTTCCGATACCTCATTTTAAGAGGTGTTTTCACTGGGCAGCCATTGTCACACACACCTTTGATCCCAGCACTCAGGAAGCAGAGGCAGTCCGATCTCTTGAGTTTGAGGCCAATTTGGTCTACAGAGTGAGTTCCAGGAGAGGCAGAGCTGCACAGAATGAACCAACCAACCAATCAACCAACCAACCAACCAACCAACCAAACAAACAGGTATTTTCATCTCCTTGATCATTCCAAGAATACCCTACACTCAAGGCTAGCTAGAGTTAAAAAAGTCTATAGAGCCTAGTGAAGGCTGAATGTAGTTTAATAAAAGTCAAGATCCCCCTAATCACACATGTAAAGGTCAAATGCAGAACCACTGGTTGTCTAAGAAGCTAGACCATTGATTGTATAAGCACTTACCAGTTGTTGCCCATAGATAGCAGCCATTATAGATAGCAATCATGGGATTGGCGTGTGGATTAAGACCTACTTGCCATCTTTGTTCAGGGTGCAGATGGCCAGGAGTGACATTGCCAGCTAGAGCTGGCCAACTTTGAGGTTTAGTAATTTTTTTTTTTTTTTTTTTTTAAGATTTGGGAAATGTAGTCTCTCTTGTCGAAGCAGCTTTATTACCACAATAAATCTAGCCAGAGGAGAGAAGGAGCGAGAGTCTCTCCTGTTAGTGAAATGTGTTCCATTTGCACACTGGTTTGAATTCCCGGGAGAGCAGTAGCTCAGCTGATGGATGGTTCCTATAAAAAGGCCTTGGCATTGGGCCATTGTAAAATTAAAATGAATTCAACTCATTCATGCATGCAACTTTAATTTACAATTAAAATATTATGGTTACATATTTTAATAAGAATAATTAGACAGACCCAACTGAATCAACCCTTGTGTTTAATGAGACAGAACCCAGAATCCAAATGGAGAGGCAGGTGGGTGTGACAGGGGACACATTTCAGACAGCATCTTTGTGGAGTCAGGTGTTTTTGCCCTTTTTATATTCTAATGCTGGGGAGGACTAGTGTGATTTCTGCGCAGCACTGAGGACCTTTGTCCCCTGCCTTGGGAAACTGTTTTCTGAAGGGGCAAAGCTCCTCCTCTCAGGACACAGACTGTTTCCTGGAGACTCACATCCTATTCTTGACACTCTTGGGCTGTTGCTCCCCCGTGAAAATGCTGGCTCAGGTGCTGCTGGAACTGGAGCACCTCAGCCAGGGGATGAGGCTCTTTTCTTTGTAACTGTGTGTATGTATACACGTGTGTATAGCTCTACTTCCTGGATCATGAGAGCTGTACTCTCCCTGTGACCTGTGGGTCAAGATCCCCCTCTCACAGGGCTCGCATATCAGGTATCCTGCCTGACAGATATTCACATGATGATTCAGAACAGTAGCAAAATTGCAGCTATGAAGTAACCATGGAATGATTTTGTGGCTAGGGATCACCACAACATGAGGAACAGTATTAAAGGGTCGCAGCATTAGGAAGGCTGAGAGCCACTGCTTTAATGACTTACATTGTAAAGATAATTTTCTTCTTCAAAGCGTCTTTACTTCACATTGGGGAATAACAGTGTCAACCAGTTGTTGACACTTAAATGAGTTCTTTTTATTTTTATTTTGGTTTTTTGAGACAGGGTTTTTATGTGTAACCTTGGCTGTCCTGAACTTGCTTTGTAGAGCAGGCTGGTCTCAAGCTCACAGAAATCTGCCTGTCTCTGCCTCTCGAGTGCTGGGATTGAATGAGTTCTTTATTTTTATTCTTTTGGCTTTTTGAGACAGGGCCTCACTATGCAGCCCTTGCTGGCCTGGAACTCTCTATGTAGACCAGGTTAGCCTTGAACATGTGTTTAGGTTCACAGAAACCTGAACTTGCCTCTGCCTCCTGAGTGCTGGGATTAAAGGTTTGTGCCACTATGCCTGGCTTGAGTGAGTGTTTTTGTCACAGAATACCCAGAATAGGGCAAGCCTAAGTGTCCCAAGACAGTTCCACACACCACGAGGACCCCATCACCCATGGAAAAAAGAGTGCTACGGAGATGGGAGGGATCGGTTGCCATTTTGGATGAATAGCCTTAATGAACGGATGAATGAACATGTTTAATATACACTCACCAATGGGGACATTTTGGACTCACTCTAAGAAAGGCCGCACATGCCTTTAATCCTAGCACTTGGGAGGCAGATGCAGGCAGATCTCTATGAGGCCAGCCTGGTCTACAGAGTGAGTTCCAGGATAGCTGGGGCTACACTGAGAGATCCGGTCTTGAGAAAAACAAACAACAAAACAAAACAAAACAAAACAAAAAAAAAACCAAACCAAAACAAAAAAAGCCAGGCTGCCCTTGCCACTCACTGTGTAGCTTAGGGAGGCCCCAAATGCGCAGTGATTCTCTTACCTGGGCCTCTCAAGCGCTGGAAATTACTGATGTGCACCGCTACACTGGGTTTGGTATTCTGTTTCTGCCGTGTGCTTGCAGTGCCAGGCCTGGCAAACGTGGCCCTGCACCACAGAGCTGCACCTCCAGCCTGACAGCACAGGGGTGTGGCTTTCGATACTGGGCACTAATTGGAAACTGACTAGGGTTTAAATTAAGGAATGTCACCAAAAAAATCGAGACTAGTGCCTTCTGTCTCGTGACCCTGAGCCCTTTAAGCATTCACTTAAACCTAGATTTTACTCTCTTCTCTCTTCCTTGCAT